ATATACTCATTAAATTTCAGAGGACATACATTTATCCCAGTTTCAGGGATTGTGAGGGGTACCATCCTATATGAAAGAACGATCTTGTTTGTGAACTTCGGAACACCTGCATGCATATTATAAATACATGGATCCGGGATTCCAATAATAGGAAGCCAGTAAAACAAAAAAGCCTAGGAGTCAATGAAAAGAAAGTCAATTATGAGAGCTCAACGTTCAACCAACTAGGGACTGCTCTCCCTAGAAAAAGAAAAATGACACAAGTGAGAGTAACAAATTTAAGGAAAGTAAAATGGTAAGAGAAAAAGCAGGACACAAATTCACATGGACACACATTGACTGCCCTAACAGATGCGTCTCAGTTTCTAGACGCAATTCCTGAGTAGTAAGGTTGACAAGCAGGAAATTGGAAGCAACATGGATAAGAAAAATATGGATTTTGTCAACATGCCTCGAAAATCTTCAAAGAAAAAGTTCAAAAACCATTCAGAAGCTGTAGTGAGGAAAAGATTGGACCCAGCTGTAAACATCATAACAAAAAATTTGAAGTTTCTAACTTGAGTGCATGCAGGCAAAAAAAATGATAAAATGCTCCTATTGCAGAAGTAAAGCCTGAAAACAGAAACAAGGGAGGAAGCTGAATCAGAGTGAAAGCGTTTTTGCACAACCAACTAACAATATCTGATATAGTCCCATCTCTGGAAGTATTGATGGTCAAAAAGGAAAGATGATTGCTAAGGATGAGTAAGGATTAAGAGCTAAATAGTCATACAGTCAAGAACAAGTTTACTACACGTCATAGAGGAGCTTTTGGATAAATTAAATGGGATAAGTATTTCCCTAAACTGGATCTAAGGTCACGATACCGCCAAATCTAATATTTCTCTTAGGACACACCAAGGACGTTGCAAATCATGCTAATTCCTTTTGCCAAAAATGCTATCTAACTAAGTAACCGTGTATTTATTTCTAACAAGCCCCCCAAAAAAATTAATCAGAACAATGTCAAGTTTGCTCATGCATAACATAAAGATCAGATTCAAGTACCAGTGACAGAATCTCTGATCTATAGGGAAATGCAGATTCATCTAAACCCCAAGAAAACCAAAATGGACAAAAGTAAGCTGCACTGCCCTAACTTCCTTCTGGTATCAAGATAAACCACTTAATTAAAATCACAATTTGTGTAATGTTGTTTGATTGAGCACAGAATATAAGAAAGAAAGACAGAATCTTGAGACAGACTAAAAAGGAAAATGCATCCCATAAATTGGGAAAGAGGAGTACTAAATTAGGAGTACTCAATACAAATATTCTTTAAATTCTTTCAACAAACAAAAAAGTTGCAATTTTTAGTAGTAATATTTTGTAAGCATAGGAAAAGAGAGACTAACCAGAGGATGTTTCTGATAAAGTGGTGTTGGAAGCAAGAGTGAATTCTTCTTGTTGTTGATGTTGAGGGACGTAGAGAGATGGGTTATGGCCAAAAAGAGTACCACTATAAAAAAAACTTATCATTACTAAAAGGGCTACCATTATCATCTGCCCTGTTTTCCAATCAAAGGCCCTCGAGCTTATCAAAGATCCACCCATTTTTCCCTCTTTAAATTCTCTCACTCCACACGATATGTAGAAAAATGTATGATTTGGAATGAGATCAAAAGATGGGGCTCATGGAAAGACACTGTACACCTTGAGATCGATAGATCTCAGGTTTTTTGGGGTGTGTGTGTGTTCGGAGCTGAACCTGAAGTGAACAGTGTCGAGTGTTCTGTCCTTTCCTAGTATTTTTCGACTTACCTTTTCCAATTTTTGAACCTTTTTTGGAAATACTATAATGTTTTGGAAAATTTTCATAAAACACTATCTTTTAGCAGTAATTAGTCATCTATAGATATCATTTGCTATATTACGGATTATAGATACCTTTTATGTGGTTATAAGATGTATTTGATGTATTTAAGCTATTGTATTCATAAATACAGTAATAAAAATAGGCGTGAATCAGGGAAGTCCAGCTAATCAGTTGTTTTATTCGAGTGTATTCGACTGTATTCATGGAGTGAAACGTGAGATTACAGCTAGACAGATTATTGTATTCGACTGTATTCACGGCGTGAAATAGGGGATTACACTGTTTTTAAAAGGGAAGGTGAATCAATTAACATAATAGGCTCTTAATATAACTCAACAAACTCAATTATAACACACAAATTTTGTATTTTCAATTATAAAAAAGATTCTCAACCGAAAAATATCCCAAAAACATAGCAATCTTCATAAAAATTATATAATACATCTGAATACACAAATTATATTAATTAAAAAAAACTTATGAATACATTCATGGCATATAGCGAGACAGTGAATACAATGAAATATATAGAATACATCGGGATACATTGAAATACAATGAGAAAAAAGACAGTGAATACAATGAAATACATGGAATACAACGAGATACATTGAATTACAATGAAAAAAAATCTTAGAGCATGAGTTTGAACAATAGAAGAAAGAAAATGATGAATAAGAAATGAAATTTTTTAGATAACAATCTGGTGGAGGGGATGGGTCTTGCATTTGAAATACTTCAAATTCATGATGAGCATCTGCATATCTTCTTTAAGGTTATAATCCTCGGCGGTGAATTTCCAAAGGAATTGCTGAACGGTGAAGATACATCGGAGAATCATATTGAGATCGATTAGATCGATGAGTGTTTAAGCTTTTAGACCATACAGTTAGTATTACAAATTTAGCTATCTCACACTTTCAGGTGCATATTTCCATGGTTGGTGAATACAAGATGAGGATTTCTTTCATGGATTACAGAAGACTCTGGCACACCAACAACGATGCAGTATGGTACAACTCCGGGAAGCTAACCATTTTCAGCAAATGGGGAAACTACATCATACAAATATCTTTTGTACAAGTCGGGGGAAATTCATAATGTTGTATCGACGGAGGACAAATCGCAAGCGAACTAGACAGAGAAGAGGAAGAGAATCGGAAATTTTAATAGGATGGGGGAAGAAAATGGGATGTATCAAAGTAGAGAGAGAAAGAAAATATTGTAACTGATTAGCGTATTTAGTAGCTTAGGGCTAGGAGGTAACCAAAATTAAATATTTTGTTATAAACCTTAAAATGTATCTATAAAATATAACTTTTTTAAATGATATTTATTTAAAATAAATAAGGTGTTAACCTTTGCTATATGAGGTAAAATTACTTAATTTTTCCTTACATTTGGGGTCGGGGAAATTGGATAATGGGAGAAACACTCACGCTTATAATGGGACTCGGTGCATAAATTCATATGGTTGAGATATATAGGCTTGATGTTCTAGGAGAATTTTGATACGTCAAGGTGCATCAAATATAATTAAAACTAGTTAAATTATCCCTACTTTTTGCGATTTTGAAATAAATAAAATTGAATAAAATAAATTAAAGGAGCACTAATAAGAAAATGATAGAAATAAAGAAATTTAATGGTAAGAAAGAGAGAGTGAAAAGTTAAAAAAATAAAATAATAGAGGATGGATAACTTTTATATGCATACTGAAGGGGTAAATTTTAGCTAAGTATAGTAATCTCTAGATTGAAAGATAAGTAAGGAGAAGACGGGTAATAAGATTTCTTTATCGATCTGAATCAGTAAAATCCTTTCAAGAACACTTCTCATTCATAAGTAGAATTATGGCCAGTTTTCTCGATGCCCTTTTGTGACACTAGAAAACCAAGGAACTTTCCCGAGGTTACATCGAAGGCACATTTTTCGGGATTCAGCTTCATCCCGTATTGCCTCAATATCTCGAAGGCCTCCTTCAGATGGCCAATGTGATCCTCTTTCTTTGTCGATTTTACTAGCATGTCGTCGATGTAAACCTCCATGGTCTTACCGAGTTGTTCTTTGAACATCTTGGTGACTAACCTTTGATATGTAGCCCCTATATTCTTGAGTCCGAACGGCATTACCTTTTAGCAGTACGTTCCTCGGTAAGTGATAAAAGTCGTCTTTTCTTGATCTTCTTCAGCCATTAGAATTTGGTTGTAACCGGAATAGGCGTCCAAAAAGCTTAGTAGTTCGTGCCCCGCTATTGCGTCGATGGGCTGATCGATGTGCGGTAACGGAATGGAATCTTTCGGGCATGCTTTGTTCAGGTCGGTGAAGTCAACACACATCCGCCATTTCCCTTTCTTTTTTTTTACCATGACCACATTGGCGACCCATTGGGGGTATTTCGACTCTCTGTTGGAACCATTGGCGAGTAATTTATCAACCTCATCGCTAACCGCCTCATTGATGGCGGCATTGAACTTTCTCCTCATTTGTCATACCGGAGGGTAAAGAGGATCAACGTTCAGCCTATGTGCGGCGATATCCCTTGGGATTCCTAGCATATCTGAGTGGGAAAAGGCAAACAAATCGGCATTGTTAGTTAAGAACTCACGATATTTACCTGGTTCCGAGAGATTGTGTCCGACATAAGCCTTTCACGTGCTATCGGTATTGTCCAGTTGAACGGGATCAAGATCTTCTATGGTTGCTTTGCAAGCTTCTATGACGTTCGGGTCTTTGATGGTTTCTACTTGTGTGTCGGGTTTGGTTCCTGACACGGCTGATTGCTATGCCTCCGCACTTACCCTTTTAGTTATTTGGTGTGCATGCAATATTGGGCTATCCAGTAGTATTCTTGGGCTGTGCATGGCTCGCCTCGGATGCTGAATATCCCCCATGGGGTGGGAAATTTGATTACTTGATAGAAACTTGACGGGACGACGCGCATGGCGTGTATCCATGGTCATCCTATGGTGGCATTGTAGGTTGTTTCTTGGTTCATGACATGGAATGTCGTTTCCAGGGTGACTCCTCCTGCCAGGACGGGTAGCACTATTTCCCCAGAGGTTCGTTCCACTGCATTATTAAAACTCGTTAGTGTTATGCAACACGGTATTATTTTATCCTCGAGCCTCATCTGCATGAGAACTCATGGGTGAACAATACACATGCCGCTTCCGTCATCCACCATTATTCTTTTCACATCGGTATCTGCGATGCATAAAGTTATAACCAAAGCATCATAGTGAGGGAAAGACAAACTGTCAGTATCCGGCTTATCGAAGATGATACTATCTTCGAGGTCGTCATACCATTCGTGGGCAACTGTCCGTTTGAGTTTATGTGTGGTGGTGAATTTCACATAGTTGATTATCGTGTCGTCGCTGCCGCCAATGATCATTTGTGTGGTACGAGCTGGTGATGGTGGTTTTGGAGGTCCTTGAGGTTGATTGCATCCACGAGCGAAGTTGGCCCTTCCTCGGTCGCTCAGCAGTTCTTTCAGGTATCCTTGGTTTAACATTCTTACCACTTCTTGTCGCAGACCTATGCAATCTTCGGTCTTGTGTCCTCTTTCTTGGTGGAATTCACATAGAACGTTCGACCTCCTGGTGCTCGGATTCGACTTCATCTTTTGCGGCCACTGTACTTTCGTGCCGAGTTTTTCCAATGCGTACACTATTTCTGAAGGAGAAATACAAAAGTTATGAGCAGATAATAGTAGAGGCATACCTCTTTCATTTTGGGGGGGGGGGTGCGGTGTGTCAAGGCGCGACGTTTGTGCATCGTGGAGGAGGTGGATTGGATGTTCGGATATAGGGCTGCTGCCTTTTTCGATTGAAACGTGGTAGTTGATCCCTTTGACTGTCATTGCGGCGATCTCTCCTTATCTCAGTTTGGACTGATGTTAATCGCTGGAGCGGACCGTTCAGGTCATCCTCGTCTGCCCTCACTTCGGCGCAATAGGCATTATGGATCTCTTCCCACGTGGTAGGGGTACTTCATGAGTCTACTTAGTAGTTTTTAGTTGCTTTTGACCCATTTCTGTTCATCCCGTTTTGAAAGGCTGCTACTGCCATTCCCTCTAACACGTTCGGTAGGTTCATCCTTACCTTGTTGAATCGGGCAAGGAAATCCCGAAGTCCCTTGCTCGTCGTTTGCTTGATGGCGAAGCTATCATTGACCTTGGCCTCTACCTTTTTCGCTCTCGCATGAGCGGTGACAAATTTATCTGCCATCTCTTCGAACGTTGATATCGACCGCGATGGTAGTTGGGAATACCATGTTAACTTTTTTAGCAGTATAGACGACACCTATTCCTTTGATAAATCGTTACCTTTTACTGTGGTAACGTAATGGATTAAGTGATCCTCCGGGTTCGTGGTGCCATCATATATTTTCAAATATGGCAGCATTTTGAAGGTCTTTGGAATAGAATGGGGAGCTGCCCCTTCCCTATATGGATGTTCGACGAATCGGCCCACATCGTGTTTTGGTAACAACTACGGAGCGCCTGGTATTTTATCGACCCTTTCCTAATGTTCCTTCATCTGGTCGCAGAGTGTTTTGTTCTCATTTTCCATCTTTCCATTTTCTTTAGGATGGCCATAAGTGCATCGTTGTCTGCATCAGCAACAATACGGGTGTTACCTGTTCGTGTAGTGTTTGGCTCATTGGCAACATCTGCTATTTCTGCAGGTAATGTGTCTTCGATATCTCTTCGAACGGGTTTCTCGAGCATGTTGTTCAAGGTGTTTGTCAACCATTCTTCTAATAGCCTTTTGACGGTTAGTGGCATTTCTCCTTATGCGGATGTTGAGGTTTCCCTCTAGTGCAAGATCGTTAGATCCTCGTGCGGGGGAGGTGAAATCTCTCCCTCAGGTGTAACACTTGGTGTTGCATTTTCATTGCCTTCTCCGCTGGCTTCGTTGAGGGAATTCAGGAGGTTGTTTGTGACACCCACTATTGCCTTTAGCCTTGCTTCTCCCTTTCCTGCCATTGTTGGCCTTTATGAAGCTAAAGAAAAGTGATTATTCTTTCAAGAATCTAGATGAAAACTACAATTTCAGCTATAGAAATTCCCACAGACGGCACCAAATTGTTTGACTCAAAAGATATCGAAACCTTTTTGAACAAATCAATTAAAATTGAAGGGGTAAATCTTAGCTAAGTATAATTATCTCTAGATTGGAAGATAAGTAAGAAGAAGATGGGTAATAAGATTTCTTTATCGATCTAAATCAGTAAAATCCTTTCAAGAACACTTCTCATTCATAAGTAGAATTGTGGCCAGTATTCTCGATGCCCCCTTTATAAAGTTATGGTTCGCTATATATATAGGGAGTGAGTCCCTTCTAAGCTGTAAAAGACAGATTATAAGGAATATTCGAAGGAATATTCTTAGTATCCCCTAACGTGCCTATATTATTACAAGGGTCGTACAATCTCTTGTTTGTCTCAAGGTCGTCCTCTACAAGGCGTCAGGTTATGGGGAACTCGCCATTCGTCGTACTCGTCGACGGTCGTGGTTGTTCAAATTTGGACCCATACACATACCGAAGAAAAATTACTATTCAATCTTATAAATTTATGACAATTAACAATGTAAGTATCTTAAATATGAGAAGAGAAAAGAATAAAAAAAAGTTATTAAACTTTTGGGCTAAATATTAATTTTTTCCTCATTTTGCCCAAAAAGTCGTTAACATTTATTCTTTTCTCTTCTCCTATTTAAAGTACTTACATTGTTATTGTTATCGGCAACAAAGTAAGTAAGTTTTTCGAAGACCACAAAATTAAGAAAATATTATCAACGCCTTACCACCCTAGTGGGAACTGAAAAGTGGAATCGATGAACAAAACTATATTCCAAAACTTGAAAAAGAGATTGACAGATTCAAAAGGAAAGTGGAAGGAAACCTTGCATGAAGTCTTGTGGGCATATCGTACGGCTTCAAAGTTGAGTACCGGGGTGACCCCGTTCTCTCTACTCTACAGAGTGGAAGCCTTAATACCGATCGAGGTATGGGAGCCGAGCCTCAGGTTCCAGTATGCTACCGAAAAGTCAAACGGCAAGGCCATGTCCACGAGCCTGGAATTATTAGACGAAAGGCGGGAAACCGCCCTGGTCCGGTTGGCCACCTAGAAGTAGTGAGTAGGGACGTACTAGAACCGAAGAGCTAATCTTGGACATTTTCAAGTTGGTAACTTGGTGTTGAGAAAAGTAACGCTACGCACCAGGAACCCAAACAACGAGAAACTGGGCCCGAATTTGGAAGGACCATACAGAGTTGCCGGAATCACCGGCAAAGGCTCGTATAAACTTAAATCGGGAAACGGTGTACAACTACCGAACAACTAGAACATGGCATACTTATAGCGATACTACTGCTAAGGTACGAACTCAATTCCTTTTTTTAATTTTGTTATATTATGTACTAACTTATGTAGGTACTCATCCAAGGCCAAATGTGACTATTAGGTATGAAAGCACGTGTTGTACTCTTTTTCTCTTAAACCGATTTTGTTCCGAAGTGGGTTTTTTGGAAAGGTTTTTAATGAGGCAATAGTAAAACATGCTACCTTAGTTTCGAAGACCGGCCTTAAACTGGAATTGTTGATCGTTTGCACCAAACCAACAGTATCTGAGCCCTCACAAGTTCGGCCTAAAATACTGGGGGCCATTACCCCTAGGTTAAGATCTTTAGGAAGGGAAAATTTTATATGTCAAAAGCCAAGGCTTGGTGGTTAGGATTTATTGTAAAGGTCAAACTGTCAAATGGATTGTGCCCATATAGCCCACTCTAGCCACGACACAAGGCTTATGCGCCTTCGATTATGTACTCTACATATAAAACAATGAAAGAAACCTTTGGTTTCTTCATACTTTATTACTACATATTTTGCTTCGTCGATGCTTCATAATGGATCCTAGATCCTAAAGCCCATGAGCTACCTCAGCCTGAGGACTGTCGTTCGATAAAAAAATCAGACGACCCGAGCTATGAAATTCCGAAGGCACCATGCCTATTAGGCAGTGCCCGAATATGAAAGGCTACAACCACCTTAAAACGGCTCGGAGACGTCTGAAGTCCATACTTAGAAAGTAAGGCCTTTACGTATAATCAAAACCTATTAAAGGGTTACCCTCGGCAAAAACATCATCGTATATGACTAAGACACTTAAACATCTTAAAGGCCTTCTATTATATTGAAATTTCAAAGCCACGAGTAATCCGAAGTTGCCATCGAAATCGGTTCCCATTCGAACCTCCAAAGAACAGATGCTCTAAGATTACGTTTGATTCTATGCTAAGGCACACTCGAATTTTTGATATTCCTTTTTATTTCTCATCAAACGAGTGGCATCTTCTACGGCAAACAAATGCTGAAAAGGAAGAACACGGTGTTGCCAAAGGGAAAATTTTATATACATGTCTCAAAAAATATTTACAAAGGCACGATAAAGCGGCCTCAAAATAAACAAGAAAGAAAAAAGTCCGAAAAGTGAAACATAAAAAAAACTAAGGCATCTACGCCTAATCTTCGCAGGAGCTCGACTCAGCACCAAAACCTTTAGAACCTTCGAAACCTTCGAAGCCTTTGGGACCTTAGAGCTCATAGAGTTCCTTTGCCTCAGTCTCGAGACTCTTGGCTTCTTCGATCTCGACCGACAGGTCAAATCCTCAGGCGTGAATCTCTTCGAGGGTCTCCATTTGGGACAGCCGCTTCACGTACTCGGTCTTCGTCCTTAAGCGGGCCTCGGACACCTCCTCATCAACTTTATACTAGGCCAGTATTTATTCTACCTTGGAGGAATCAACCAAGATTGCCCCTAATTTGGACTTCAGCATGGTGTATTCCCAGCCAAGATTGTCCCATTCCGAGAAAGATGAACCCAATTGTGCCCAGAGTTTGCCGTTTAACCGAGACCACTTATCGGCTTTGTCCTGTACATTATGGATTAAAGTATGTAGGTACTCATCTAGGGGCGGATGTGGTTTATATGTCTGAAAGCACGTGTTTTTTCCTTGAACCGATTTTGTCCCAAAATGGGTTTTTTCGGCAAGGTTTTTAACGAGGCAACAATAAAATGTGCAACCTTAGATTTGAAGACCGGCCTTAAATCAAAATTAATGATCGTTTGCATCATATCAACAATATCCGAGTCCTTACAAGTTCAGCCTCGAATACTGGGGGCCATTACCCCTAGATTAAGATCTTTAGCAAGGGAAAAGAAAATGTTATATGTCAAAGGCTATGGCTTGGTGGTTAGGATTTATTGTAAGGGTCAAACGGTCATGCGAACCGTGCCCATATAGTCCACTCTAGCCATGGCACAAGGTCTATGTGCCTCCGATCATTTACCTTGCATTACTGTGCATTTTACTTCTTCGATCCCGGATCCTAAAGCCCATGGGCTACCCCTACTCGGGGACTCTCGATCGATAAAAATTTGGACGACCCAGGCTACCGAATCCCGGAGGCACTGCCTGAATATGAAAGGCTACGGCCACTCTAAAACGGCTAGGAGACATCCGAAGTCCGTACTCAAAAAGTCAGGCCCTTATGTAAAATCGAAACCTATTAAGAGGTTACCTTTGGCAAAAACATCATCTGAGGCACTTAAGCATCTTAAAAGCCTTCAATTCTATCAAAATCTCGAAACCACAAGTAACTCGGAGTTACCATTGAAATCGGGCCTCATCCAGACCTCCAAAAAATGGGTTCTCTAGACTACATTTGATTTTATGCTAAGGCATTAAAGGCGATATGCAAACAGGTCCATCCTACCCTTCTACGCCTCGGTCGTGGCGTTGATCTCATCCATCTTAGCCCAAAGCTAGTTGATCAGGTCTATCTTCTGTTAGACCTGCGAAGTTACATTGTTATCCACCTCGAGTAGCTTCTCATTTTTAGCCTCAAAGATCCTTACCTTCTCAACTAGATTGGCGTGCTATAGCTTCAAGGTCGAGGCCTCCTTCTGGGCATTTTCTACCACGGGTCGAAGAATCAGGAGGTCCTTGAGGGCCTCATCTTGTTGTTCACTAAGAGCCCTGTACATGTCCTTCTTCCGTACTTGCTCTTTGAGCTCGAACTCAAGCTGGCTGATCTCCAAGCAGGATCGAAAGAAGCTTTCATGACGAAGCACTAAAGCCTGAAAAATAATGAAGTCATTAGAACATGCCTAAAACTAAGCATGTTCGTAAAGGGGTATGAAGGATAGATGCCTTACCCGGTTCAGCGCTTGTTGTACCTCATTGAAGAGGCTCGACATGCCCACTCTATTCGTCTTTGCTTGGTCCTCGTCAGTCACCAGGCAACGAAGGTAGTTGGCTATGCCTACTGAAGCGGACATGACCCAGGCATCCGCTGGTATAGTAAGAACAACCATTCTCTTATGGTCGAGGTCCACGCTCGAGGCAAGGAATCGCTTTACTAGTTTCAGACTCGAGCTCGGCTCGCTCGCCCCCGACATCATATCCTTTTTTGGGACCTCTAGGTGGCCAAGCCCGGAAAAGTCCTCCAACACATCCATATCCATGCCATCGAAGAATATGTCGAGGGAATCATTTGGGCCCTGAGCCATCTCATTTGATTTCTCCTTACCCCCTTGGACCTCTTCGAGCATGGTCTCTATATAGGACGGCGTCTCTATAATGTCAATTACACTAGCTACCTCCTTCGAGATAGGAGCGGCTTCTCGAGAGGCTAAGACCTCCATCTCTCCCACTGGTTCCTGAACTAAAGGGGGATCGACCTCTTGGTCATCTTTCCTAACTATTACTTGTTCCTCCT